ACTTATTAAATTTTAAAAAGAATTTATATATACTTAATGTCTACTTAGACAAAGAAATACTTAGTGTCTATTTAGACATTGAAAAGATCTACAATTTTGAAAACCTTAAACTTTAAATCTACCTCAAAGAAAACAGATATATATTGAAAAGTATTTTTATTTCTTTTAAAAAAATTAAAAATGCTTTTTAACTTACTCCCTTCAATATTATTATATAATTTATAATATATATTGATAAATAAACCTCTACAATTTCCTTGGTTTAACAACTTGATTATGATTAAATAGCAACTCTACAAACATGAACTTTCTAATAATCTAAATAAATTATAAACAATTAAACTTAAATAAAAATGTATACAAATAAAAAATGCAAAAGTACAGAAAAACAATTATATAATAACACAATTATATCCTAAACCAAAATTCATAAATGCAAGACAAATTATTATATATTTATTGAAAAGCCAGAAACATATTTTTTTTCAAAGAGCCAAAGAATTAACAATACTATAGATAAATTTTATTTGTAACAAAATGTTGTCATGGCTTTTATTACAATTATTAAAAGCATGTGAAAGCATGAGACTACCCATAAATATCTTTTAACGGTAGACACTATAGTAATATCTATATTTTCAATATTAACATCTATAACACGAAGCTTTAAATTTAAAAGTACAATTTAAAAGAGATTACAATAAATTAATTACTTATAAAATTTTAAAAAGATTTTATATTACCTATAAATTTAAGCTACAAAACATTATCTACTTAGACATTTTGAACTCGTACCATGAAAGGTTGCAACTTCTTTAAGAGAGCACACGTTTAAGGAAAGTCAAAAAACTTAAAAAGTGTATTTTACAAAATTCAGAACCGTACCGTAACTATAAAATAAATAGGCGTAACTATGCGCAATAATAATAATAATAATAATAATAATAATAATAATAAAAATAATAACAATAAAATTCACTTCGCAAATTATATTAAAATACGTAAATAAAATTTTATTCTCATTACTCTTTCTACAAAAAATAATCTTAATCTATAAATAAGAAAATGAATTAAACTTACTAAAAAAGCCATTAGCTCCTCTTAACTGCTCTAAAAAATAAAACAATACTTATTTTGCCAGTCATTTCAGTTATAACTTTTTCTAAAAAATGAACACAGATTATAAAAATTAGAAAAATAAAAACAAACAACAACAAACAAAAGATTATTTTAATTTTTATTTTAGCTTTTAAACAATAAACAACATCACATCTTCATGAAACTAAAAATATATCAGCTCTAATTTGCTTGAAGACCTTGCTCGAAAGGCCGCGTGGAATATATAACCACGTAAAGAAAAGTCTAGAAACTACCTCAAAAATGAAACAACACTAATAATAATAATAATAGCAATAATAACTATAATAATAATAATAATAATAGTATTCATTGCGCAAATTATATTTAGATTTATATTTTATACAAGAAGCTTTAAATTTAAAAGTGCAACTTAAAAAAATAATACAATAAATTAGTTACTTAATAAAATTTTAAAAAGATTATATATTACCTATAATTTTAAGCTACTTAACATTATCTACTTAATATTTATTTAAACATTTTGAACTCGTGAATGAAACTACCTCTTAATCATTTTTTAAACAACAGTTACCAATATAAAGATAAGCCAAAGATAACAACATTACGCAAAAAAAATATCAAAGATAACGTTGTGTATTTTTAATATAGTTATATAAAAGGCTAGACAACACCTAGACCTAAAGCAATGCTTGACTGGTAAGAATGAAAATTATATCTCTACATGTTTGCCAAGTCACACCACTTTGAAATCATGGAAACAACATTATATAAAAATATATACTAACTATAAAACACAATATATATTTTTTAGTGTTATATAACATATAAAAACACCTCATTTAACAATCGTATACACATTAGATAAAATACATTTCATACTATTATAAAAACACATTTAAATAAACAACTATATAACATATATCACCTCATTTAACAATCATATACACATTAGATAAAATACATTTCATACTATTATAAAAACACATTTATATTAACAACTATATAACATATATCACTAAATACACGTATTTATCAAAAACTTTTTTAACTTCAAGCATAATATAAACATATATGCAAACTTTTAACAACTATAAAACAATATTTATTAGCTTCAATTTTTTTTAATTTAACAAAGAATGCAGACTACAATGCCCAACATTGTTAATAAAAATTAAGTTATATCAGTCAGTATATATTAATATAAAGTAATGAAAAAGAAAAAACCATTTTAAGAACAAAACTAAAAATTTTTAATAAATACATATTAAGATTCCTAATGAAGCATAGGGCAACACTCTTTTGACAAATTCCATAAAAAATTTTCTTAATTTTTCTACTCCTTATTATTTTTTCTTGGAGAAAATATATATATAGATAAAGAGAAATATAAAATAGACTGAAACAAATCGAAAATCTTAATTTACGTATGAGAAAACAACTTGAACCTACTAAAAAAGCGATCAGCTCCTCTTAAATGCTCTAAAAAATAAAACAAATACTGCTTAAAATGATTTAAAAAGACTAAAAACAAAACTGATACAGTTTCCTTAAAAAAGAAACATTGTACTAAAAAAACTATTTTACCAGTCAAATTAGTTCTAACTTATTCTAAAAAATGAAAAATAAATACATGTTTAGATACCTTAAAATGAAGCATAACACAACACCCTTTTGACAAAATCCAGAAGAAATTTTTTTTACTTTTACTTTTGCTAAGAGAATATATAATTATATATATATATATATATATATATATATATATATATATATTCTCTTAGCATTCTTTTGCTAAGAGAATATATATATATATATATATATATATATATATATATATATATATATATATATATATATATATATATATATATATATACTATATATATCATATATATCATATATATATAGTATATATATATATATATATATATATATATATATATATATATATATATATATATATATGTATATATATATATATATATACATAACAAACTAAGAATTATTTATATTTTTATTTTAAAAAATAAACAACATTAATTCTTCTTGAAAATCTTCTGGAATTTGTCAAAAGGGTGTTGTGTTGTGCTTCATTTTAAGGTATCTAAATATGTATTTAATTTTCATTTTTTAGAATAAGTTAGAACTAATATGACTGGTAAAATATATATATATATATATATATTTATGTATATATTTATGTATATATAAATATATATATATATATATATATACATATATATATATATATATATATATATATATATATATATATATATATATATATATATATATATATATATATATATATATATATATATATATATATATATATATATATATATATATATATATATGTATATATATATATATATATATATATATATATATATATATATATATATATATATATATATATATATACATATATATATATATATATATTGTTATACATATTCATATATATACATATATATATAAAGACATATAAGAAATATATAACTGCGCTTAAAAAAGTCTAGAAACAAATTAAAAATTAAGAAATAGTGTATTTTACATAATGCAGAACCGTAATCAACAAAACAAACAAATAATATTATACATACCTATGATTTATGAATCAATAATTTTTTATGAATATCTAATTAAAAACAAGACATTCAAAATAATTTACTTTCAAGAATATCAATAAAATTTATTGATATTTAACATCAATAAAATTTATTGATGTTAATCCATTTGTGAAAAAATCAAAATAATACACTTTCAAGAATATCAATAAAATTTATTGATATTTAACATCAATAAAATTTATTGATGTTATTCCATTTGTGAAAAAATTGGATGCTAGGTTTAAATACTACAAACAATTTTTGTTCCAAATACTCCATTCATCACGAATTTAATAAATAAGTTGCAGGATTACTTTTAACAAAACTAAAACTAAAAAAAAGTGGCTGTATTAAAAAGATTATGTAGCTAAATCCGCAGCCATTTTAAAATCTCTGAAATTTCTTATGAACTTTTTGAACATGCGCTCATAAACATAACGCTTGTAACTGACTGTGCATAATTATAGGTTTTAAAAACCTATAATTATGCACAGTCAATTACAAGCGTTATGTTTCCCGCATCAATGAATTTTAGTCGGCAAATTTGACCCTTAGTCGGCAAATTTGACCCTTTTTGACTAATTAGTCGGCAAATGTAGACCCTGTCAATAGATTAGTCGGTAAATTTAGACAAGCAATTTTTTCTTCTTTTTAATCGGTAAAAGTTTTAACGGCACCCCCTATCCCACGTGATACCTACTCGCGCCGGCCCTATATATATATATATATATATATATATATATATATATATATATATATATATATATATATATATATATATATATATATATATATATATATATATATATATATATATATATATATATATATATATACATAAATGTAGACCCTGTCAATAGATTAGTCGGTAAATTTAGACAAGCAATTTTTTCTTTTTTTTAATCGGTAAAAGTTATATATATATATATATATATATATATATATATATATATATATATATATATATATATATATATATATATATATATATATATATATATATATATATATATATATATATATATATATATATATATATATATATATATATATATATATATATATATATATATATATATATATATATATATATATATATACATATATATATATATATATATATATATATATATATATATATATATATATATATATATATATAAATATATATATATATATATATATATATATATATATATATATATATATATATATATATATATATATATATATATATATTATTATATATAGCATCATATATAACTTTAAAATTCAATTTATTTATATTAGATTAAAAAAATCTAGAATGATGTCTAATTTCTTATCACTTCATGTAATGTTGGATGAAATAACTGAGTTTCTTCGTAAAGAATGCCGTAATTTGGTAAATAATGATAAAATAAGCGATGAAATGTGGGATACAATTGAGAATAAATGCAAGAATATTCAAAAACATCATTTAAATTTAAACGATTTTAATCAATTGGATTTCACTTTATTGTGCCTTATACTATTTAATGTAAATTCAAAAATTTCTAAAACCACTCTAGAAAACATAAAAAAAGTGCGTAATAAAATTGTTCATTCTCCTTCTATATTAATAAATGACGAAGAATTTCAAGTGCTTTCAAGCGATTTAATTTTATTAATGGGAGAGTTAAACATCAATAAAACACAAACTTTGAAACTCAAAAATCGCAAATACCAAATAGAAATTAAGGAAGAACCTGTATATAACACCACGATTCAAATGCCGCCAGAAAAAAATGCTGATGCAACAAAAGAAAATCAACAATGTATTTTATTGTAATCGGTTGTTACATTATTTTGAAATCAATCCGTATATCTTTCTAAATATGTCTTTATATATATATATATATATATATATATATATATATATGAATATGTATAACAATATATATATATATATATATATATATATATATATATATATATATATATATATATATATATATATTTATATATATATATATATGTATATATATATATATATATATATATATATATATATATATATATATATATATATATATATATATATATATATATTTATATATATATATATATATGTATATATATATATATATTTATATATATATATATATGTATATATATATATATATATATATATATATATATATATATATATATATATATATATATTATATATATATATATATATATTTTTATATATATATATATATATATATTTTACCAGTCAATTTCTTAAAATATTTTTTTGACATATGTAATTCTTTAATTGTTGTCCTGTAATCTTTTAAGATGTTTTAGATCACCAGCTGTAAATGTTATTAATTTTCATACTATTTGGACAGAATTTTTTTTTAAAACGATAATGAAAATCAAATTTTTTTAGGAGAGTAAATTTTTTTACATATTTTTTTATTTTTTATTGTTATCTTCGTCATATCTGTACAGCTGAAGTTCTCCATTTTTATAATATTATTGGTTATTTCTTTGAACTGATAAAATGTTATTAACAGTTGAAAATGCTCCTTTAATGGCAGCTGATGAAGCAGGTATGAACATGATACTTTTTACAAGTCGGCTGATATAAGGAAATCTTGTACGTTTGGTCTTCCAGCATTCAATGATTTCTGCGATGCTGTATGCAACTTTTTCATCAAAATATCGTGCACTTAACATCAGTGAACGGAAAAATTTTACAGTTTTTTCTTTATAGCTTCTTTACAGTACTGATTGAAGCATCTTCATAAAAAAAACTTTCATCTTCCGATCGTTGTGTAGAGTTTGCAGTGCTAGTAGAACTTTCGCTTGAATCTCCTTGGCGCATATCAATTAATAGTTTAGTAGTGATATCCTCAATATTTTTGTATCTTTTCCTAATAAGTGCAAAGATTATTGTTCCCTCCAGTTTAAAATTATCAAACTGTGCCATTAAATACTCAGGTACTGAAATCCTGTAATTAGAGCTTGAGTTATATTCGTGGTACATGTAAAAGAATCTAGTTTTCCAATTATATCTACTTTTTCCTAATATTATATTGTTTTTAATATCGCCAAGTTTATTATTGGATTTTTATCGGAGAAACTTCAGAAACTTTATTGATTCAATAAAGGCATTTAATAGTACCTTTATGATATAAGTTTGTTCAACAGTAGGCATCCAGCTATCAGATTTATTTAAAATTTTTACCCTATGCATTTTAACTGCCTATTGTCAGAACTCCAACAAGTTGTTACCCTTTGAATAATTGTAATTTGTGAATGCTTATGTTCAGTAGCAGGTTTTACCAAAATACTTGTGGTTTTAAAAAAAAAGCTGAAGTGTCCAACTAACTTTTTTGAACTTAGCTAAACATTGTGTGACAATTAAAAGTATCTAATGATACTTTTAACTATCACATAAAGTTTGGCAATTAAAAATTATTAAAATACTTTTAATTGAATTAAAAGTGTCTAATGATACTTTTAATTTAATTAAAGTATCTAATTAGTTCAATCAAATAAAGTAATTTTTCATAATATTTAACTAAGCGCATCAAAAGTTTCATAACTAAGCGCATCAAAGGTTGTTATGGATAACTTTACTGATGCATGCAGCCTTCATAAATATTATGAAAGCTACATTTGAATCTCTACAATTTGTTGCCTATGTATATGAATTTTTTTGCAAATTTAAGCGTTTTATCAAATAATCTAATTTTTCGAGAAATCTTTTGACATTAAATGCGTCAGCAAATGAATCAAGTTTAAAAAGAAGTTGTTTAAGCTGAAAACGTGTTGTAAAGAAATGAAGAATAAGAGATTGGAATAAGACATTAGAAAGCAAAATTATTATAAGAAGTCCATATCAGTAGTAAAGTCGTGGTCCAGTTCAATGTTTTTATTGCAAATAGTATTGTTCACATGGTCACTGATCACTTTAAATGATTAAGAAATTCTATCACGAGAAAGTAATTTTAATAAAACAAGATTTTTTTTTCTCAGTCAGCATCAACAAACGGGTCCCGTACGGTTTTTATCTGGGTTTATAGAAGCGGTATTTAGATGTCGCGAGTTCTGGTTTCTAGATGGGTCCCGTATGCTTTAAAAATCAAGCAAAACTTTTTATGTGGTAATGAACTGGGCTTGAAAATCTATGATTTTAACAAATTTCGCATTTGGGGCCCTTTGGTGTTAAACAGAGCGGTATGTGTTCGCCACTTTAAATTCTAAAAAACTTGTATAAATTTAAACCATTTAACTTGGAGCATAATTTTTGTAACAATAGTTTTTCTTTTATTTGGTTTTTATTTTATATATAAGAGTTATTATTTTATCATAGAATTGTATCAATGGCACTCACGTTTATTAAGTTTTATAAAACGAGGAAACCCACACAATAAAATAATTGATTTTTATTTTTATTACTGCTTTACTTCTTTAATGGCATATATTCTTGGCAATGTGAATGCCTTTAAATATTATAAACATGAATCAATAACATTTTCCCCTTAAAATGGATACGGTTTTTATAAAAACTTATATAATACAATTTATATAAACATATAAATTGTATTTTATATGAACTGAAAGTTCATATAAAATACAATTTTATCAGACAAAACAAGTGCTATCAAATAATGCAAATTTAGTTTCTTTATATAAAAGTGCTGAATTTTTTAAATTAGAGAAATAACTATGTAACTTTTTAGAGACAATGTCCTTCAAGTTTTATTCGTCACAAAGTTCATTATTTGTACACAAAAATTAATAAATTAATCAAAAGTATTATAAAAAGTTGATTTCCTTCTGGACAAAACAAGTGCAACTCCACAAAATGTTGACTAAGCTGTATTTCGCTATCAATATTTTGTGGCGAATCCTTTGTTGTCGATCATAGCCTTGCATCTATTCATCACTGAACAGGATGATTTTCCATTTCTGCACATTCCAGTCAATATGAGATGTAGCAAACAGGAGTCTTTTCTTCTGGTTCTGTAGTGAAATAAGCGGTTTCTTTGCAGGGCGTCGAGAAAACAATGCGGATTCAACAGCACGTCGTCTGATTGTTCGGCCTGATACAAACAGCTCTAATTGCGTTTGTATATTGACTGATGATATCTAGGGATCCTTTTTGACGGATCTGACGATCATAGAATCCTCTCTAGAAGTGGTGGAACGCGGTGTTCTACCTTTGATATCTGCTGCCAACTTCCCCGTAGAACGATATTTGGAACATAGTCTTGATACGGGTCATTTTTTCACGCGATATTTTTCACAAATACATTTTTGTGACATTCCACTTACGTAATCGCCATTAATTTTCTTTCTTAGTTCCAATCCAAGATTATCGGGAGCCATTGTTGCACTTGAAGTCAAAAAAATAAAAAAAATAAATAATCACACTTTTCAAGGCTTACTGTGTTACATTTACCTTGTGATGATCCAATAATGCTCTGTGGAACACAACGTCTTGGTTGGATGTGAACTGTATTGATGTAATGAAACACTTGTTGTATTTTATTTCTTGTATTGATGTTCTTCGATAAAAGACTTTGATTAAACTCACTTCGATAAAGTGTCTTGATAATACTGACTGATTGGCTTCCATACACTGACTGAATTACATGTCGGTTTACATATCTCTTATATATAGTAAAACGAACCTGTGTGAACCTGTTCTGGAAGATTCTAGACGCTTCTTTTCGATGCTTCTGGAAGCTTCTGGATGTGTCTGGATGCTTCTGAATGTTTCTGGATACTTCTGGATGTTTCTGCTTGCTTCCAGATGTCTCTTCTGGAAACTTCTTGAAACTTCTGGATACTTCTTTTAATTATTAAAAAACTTCCGTGACGTTAACAAGGACCAGACTTAAGAAAATGAAACAAACCAAAAAAATTGCACTTGTTTTGTCCGCTGCAAAATGGCACTTGTCAACAAAATTCTGCCTGTGTGCTGTCACCTGTCAGCTGATTGCACATGTCATAGCTTACTATGATTCCAGACTCCTGAACTGTTTGCTGTGGTAGTATAGGTCGTTTCGTTTTTAAGATGTTCGATGTTGGTTGCATATGTTTTGTCCAATACTGTATATATGTATATATATATATATATATATATATATATATATATATATATATATATATATATATATATATATATATATATATATATATATATATAATATATATATATATATATATATATATATATATATATATATATATATATATGTGTGTATATATATATATATATATATATATATATATATATATATATATATATATATATATATATATATATATATATATATATATATATATATGTATATATATATATGTGTGTATATATATGTGTATATATATATATATATATATTAATATATATATTTTGTATATATATATATATTATATATATACATACATATATATATATATATATATATATATATATATATATATATATATATATATATATATATATATATATATATATATATATATATATATATATATATATATATATATATATATATATATATATATATATATATATATATATATATATATATATATATATATATATATATATATATATATATATATATATATATATATATATATATATATATATATATATATCTTCTATATAAAATTGCCGAAGATAATAGTTTTAATAGTAGTAGCGTATTTGACACGAAACCCTTGGCAGCCATTGCAACGAAGCTATTGGGAAGAAAGAGTCTCACCTTTGATTTATAAAAATAGTGAGCAAACGTGAAACTTATATCGTGCGTACGTAAAATTCATGTTATGTAATGTTAAAACATGTTTAAACATATATTAAGTTTTATAGTTTGATTTTCG